AGGTGAGGGCAGTGCATCTCTGAGTCTTCTGGAAGCCTTCAGTTCTATGATGCCTTATTTATGACTTCATGTCTATTAACTTTGTGTGTTTCCTTATCATTTTGCTGTATTGGTTCATTTCCCTACAGTATTAGAGCTTATAACTGCTACCACATGAGCGTTGCATAAAGATTGAGAGTAGGGACTTGGTTCAGATTCTCTGCCTCCACCATTTACTAGCTCTTTAACCCAGAGTAGGTTTCTTAACCTCTCTAACCCTCAGCCTCCCCATTTGTGAGTCATCGGATCATTAAATGAGGAATGCATGCAAATTCATTGGCTCAGTATCTGGCAGGGTGTATGTGCCCAGTAAGTGTTAGTTATCATTAGTAATAATTTTTTTTTGTCATCGTTATTGTCTACCCTCACTTGATCCAGAATTTAGAGGCTGAGAGATTTTCTAGATGCACTGGTTAATATTAGAAGAAGAAACCAACTCTGAAATATATCTGCCTATTAGGTATCATGGTAGCAGAACAAAAAGTAAGTCAAAATAATTAAATAAGTGCGAGGCAAGGGGTGAGAGAAAACACCATCTGCCAGCTCTCTGTGAGTCATTTAGGAGTGAGTTGGAAGATAATGAAGGCTATTGCATTCTGGTCATGGATGGGTCCTTCTGCTTGGCTGGTGCTATCGCCTTTCTCTGAATAAAAATAGCCCATGCATCCTTTACTGCAGCTCAGTAAACACAGATGATGTGAATAAAAATAAAAGGATGCACAACAAAATCTTTGGGGAGATTTGCTGCAATTTATTTTGTTTCTTAGTGTACCCATGAATTTCAGTACAATCAACAGTTTAATCTGAGCAGCAAGGCATTCATTTTTTGGCTGTTTATAGTCAGCGTTATACTATTTCCTAGCAGCACTGATCATATGAAATGCTCATTAGAGCCATGAAACAATCTTCAGACTTAAAGCAGTGTGGTGGATTGAGTGCAACACCCCACATGTCACAAACAAAGGCTCCCATTTGGGTTTGGCCACCTACGACCTGTGAGGGCAGTCTGAATTCCCCAAGCCGTGGTTTCTCTCCAACCAAATGGTGATGTTAAGCAATCTTGTAATGTTTAAATGAGATCATATGAATGATGAATAAAGTGTTCTTTTTAAAAATGCTTTGGAAATATTATTTTATCATGATTAATTACAGAAAGCTACTTTTGAAGGGCAGTGTCACATTATAACTTTTGAGACTAAGCTGACTACCAGTTCCTAGCCATGCAAAATGACTTAAACTGGGGGGACTGGGGAAATAACTTGAATTATGGTGGCTCATTTTTCTTATTCACAAAATGGGAATAATAATATACTGACCTCATCGAGTTGTTTTGAGGATGCAATGAGATGATCTCAATTGAAGAGTCAGGGTACAGGGCCTGGCGCAGACTGCTTACTTGGCTGCTACTTTCATGATTTAATATGAGAGCAAATAGGAGTCATTTCTTTGTGTCTTGCACCATTAAAGGCCGTACTTTGTGTGTGTGTGTGTGTGTGTGTGTGTGTGTGTGTGTGTGTGTGTGTTGCTGGAATGTGTTCACTAATACTTTCGTTCGAATTCTGGGGTTATGTAGTTACACCTATTAACGTACAGCTGGCATTCTGGAGAGACTGTACTAACAGAAAAATAAAAGATGGGGGGGAGGTCTTTGGAAAGGGGAGAGTAGAGAGTAGTTCTAGGTTTTGTTTTGTTTTTGTCTCCAAATTGATTCTATTTTTTTGAAAAAAGACAGATTTTAAGAAGTATATAATGTGGAGGACAAGTCATGGGCGTGGCCTAGAGCCTGAGTTTATAGTCCTGCCTCTGCCGCTAACAACTGTTTATGGACATAAAAGAAAACAAGGTAATATCACTGGCCCCAAAAGAGATGGGTCAACAAGATCAATGCTTCTTGAGCTTGGCCCCATATAGGAATCACCTAGGGTGCTTTTGAAAAATAACATATCTGTCTACATCAGGTCCACATCAGGTCTATTGGACTGTCTCTGGGGAAGAACCATTCTCCAAGCTCACCAGGTGTTTGGGATACACAGAAAGGCTCACTGACCACTTGACTGGGTCATTGCTGGGTCTCTGGCTCTGGAATCTTGCACATCTGTACACATCTCTCTTTACTGTCGTCACATACATAAAGAGTGCTTTTTAAACTGGATACAGATTTACAGCAGTAGCTAGAGAAGGTTAAGGAATTTGATTTAAGTTATTAGCTTCTGAAAAAGAGCAAGCTATATTCTAAACCTCACTGCAAACCTTAAACCTCTTCTTAAGAGGGATGTGATCACTGTATGTCAACCATACAGGCATTATATGGGACTCAGCTACCCTTTTGAATTTACCTGCTTTTTTTTTTTTTTTTTTTTCAACGTTTATTTATTTTTGGGACAGAGAGAGACAGAGCATGAACGGGGGAGGAGCAGAGAGAGAGGGAGACACAGAATCGGAAACAGGCTCCAGGCTCTGAGCCATCAGCCCAGAGCCTGACGCGGGGCTCGAACTCAGGGACTGCGAGATCGTGACCTGGCTGAAGTCGGACGCTTAACCGACTGCGCCACCCAGGCGCCCCTTACCTGCTCTTTATGTGGAAAGTTGTACCACTAGAGAAGCTTGCTTCCAATTCGGGCAGGTATTTTATACAACATTTAAAAGTCACACATAAGGCTTCAACTCTGGATGTGGGCAATAAGAAGAGACAAAAAAGTGGGAGACTGTTTCCAGGGAGGGATTTTCTAACTCACTGATCTCAGCACAGAGCATCAGCTTGGAAAGAGCGTTTTTGTAACAGAAATATTCAGTGAAAAAACACCAATGATTTCCATTTATATCCTTAAAATGGTAGAAGGAACATATGGCTTAGATTAGGAAAGTGAGCGTTAGCTATGAGGGTGCATTTGCAGGAGACATTAATTAGGACTGAGAGTACCTCAAGTACTTGGGAAACAAATTTGTTTAATAAGCTTCATGGTTTGCAGATGCCTTTCCCTCTTCCTCCCCTATGATTCCAAATGAAGCCATTTTATCTGTTCAGAGCTAAGCACACTTGAGAAAGTCACATGATTTTTGTGCTTCACTCCATTCATGTTTGAAAGCAAGTTCACAGGACCTTCACATGAGTAAGATCTCTCTTATAGCAATATACACCTGAGTGAGGACCTCATCATATTAAATCAGGATCTTATTTTAAGCTCCCTGTTTTCAGGGCTTTGCCTTTCAAGAGACCTTCATTCATTGGACTACTACAGCCAAATGCTGATGTGCTGTCTGTTCCTGGAGACGCTCTGCCCTGGGGTGTGCTTGAGTGGAGTACGCTGCCCGTGTCTCTTGTTTGTATCGGCTCCTGCTGCTTCCTTTGATTAGGGGCTGATAGAATATCTCTCAAGATTTGTGGAGTTGATGAAAGCCATATGTCTGGGCTGAAGTATTTGGAACTTGATTTTTGGCATTGTCATCATGTTAATATTCTTCAGGACATTTTAAAACATGAGCATGAGACCTTAGATACATGGAATTCTCTGGCGAATACTGGCTGGGACAGCTGATATAAGGGTTATGTTGAATCCTCAAAAGCATATACTGTATCACTTTCTTAAGCTAGAAGGGCTGTAATGATTCTCTTGGGACAAATAAACATTTCCTGTGAGGTCCCTACTTGCTTAATTCTAGCCTTGAGTTTTAGAATCCTTGCTACCCTAAGTGAACTCATTTTAATAAAATAAAAATGTTCAGCTGTTTTATTGGTGCTTGTTGAAGAAGGCAAAGATCAAAAGGGAATTGAGGAAGAACTTGTTCTCTCACTGAGGCAGCATTTGTGAGGTAAAATAGAAAGGTGGGTTATGTGGGCCAGTAGAACAGGGTAGGTGATTAAGAATAAAGATGTTAGAGCCAGACTTCCTGACTTTAAGTCCTGGCTCTGTTACTTCTTGCTTTCAATCCTGGGCTACCAAAGCAAGTAAACTCTGTGCCTCTCTGTTTCCTTATCTATAAAATGGAGATAATGACAGATTGAATGAGTTAATGCTTATAAAGCAATTAGTTTCTGCACATCAAAAGTATTAATAAATGTGACTGTCCATTGGGCAGAGCCCCGTGCTGGCAATGCTATTACTTTCATGTGACTATCTGCCTTCGGAACTAGGTTGATTTTATGAGCCTAATCCGTTTTTCTCCCTCTTTTCTGAGGCTGGTGCTAAATGGTTTTATGATGCTAGATAAGACGCGTGAACCCCAAATACCTACCTGTCCCTGTTTGTAAAATGTAGATTAGTTCAATGTTGCTTATAGCTATGCTGGGAGAAAAAAATAAGACCATTATTACAAGCCCTTTTAGCTCTTCTGGGGAGGCGTAAAGCAGGACCAGAAAATGATTTGTATAATAACTCAACTTATTAGTCAAAACTTTTCCAAAACAATAACATTAATGCCATGATATGAGACACTTTCTAATAAACATTTTTAAGCATCTAGATCCCTAAATTACGTTAATAAGAAATGTTGCTGAAATGTAACTGATTCCTAGATTGTGTCCACTCCACTACTTGATTTTGGCCATTCATTTATTACAAGCAAACCTAAAACTCATTTGCTTTTTCATTTCTAAGTTACCCCACCTAGTTCCAAAACGGATTTAAGACCACTGGAAACCACTTGTTGCATATGTTCAAAAAATATACTTACTTTTGTCATCTTGTGGCTTTCAGTATTAATACCTCGATGGAAAGAAGTCAATATTTTTCTTCTCAGTTTCATCCGAACACATCTCTGCTGCATGTGTTATTCATTAAAATCCAACAGGAACTGAGTAAGAAATGTTTTCCTAAGGTACAGACACTTGTCAGAAAGCTTGGGATTAAACAGCCATATTATTTATTTTTAGATTATGAGCTGACTATAAATTGACAGCAAGTGGTCATGTTATCGCAGTCTTTGACACCTCATGGAAGGCCCTCTTTCTGACCCCACCCAATCTTCAGTTCCTCTAATGTGTTTGTGGTTACTCTTTTGGTAGTTCTCTAACCGGGTCCTAAGATAAGAGACGAATGTGGGGGGTGAGGGAGTTATTTCCTTTGATGTTAGTGCATGCTGGTGATGGTCTATGTTTCTTTCATAAAGAACGTAATACATTGGAAGACAATCGAGGGAGCACGGGAAACGTGGGGTATAGTGCTACCGTCCAACTAACTGGGAATTCAGGCAGGCCACTTTGTTTTCTTCAAACTCAGCTCTGCGTCTATGAAGAGGGTGAACTCCTTCACTAACTATTGTGTAGTGCTCGTAAGATAGTAGGAAGTCAGCATAATTGCATATACTGTAGCAGTTGTATTACAACTTAAGTGGATAATTCCTCAAAATTGTGTTCACCTGACTCATATAACACAAAACCAGAATGTGGGGGCTTTAGTGTATTAGATATCTGACACAGATATATCCAAAGCTTTTCATTTTGTTTTGTGTAACTTTAGTGACCTACTCTTATTAATATGTGTCCCTTGACTTCTGCTTCACTCACTCTTGGAGGTAGGTGCATTTATGCATTTACTTCTTTATTGCATAAAATGGGAACATATCATTGAAAAGGACTATATTCTTGTCAGGAAGTTTGCTAAAAACTAATATGCTTTAATTCAAGAGATATTTGGTAATCTAGTAAATAGACTAAAATAATTCATGACCCAGGGAACTTGCCTCAAAGAAGCTTCTGGTGTGGTGGGAGTACAGAGAAGGAAATGCAGAATTATAAAAGTGTACAATGAAGGTGATGATTGGGAAAAGTGTGGAGCAAAGCAATTACAAGTGGGCACCAAATCCACCCCAGGGAAAGCCCTGCAGACTTCCCAGAAGCCATGGCATGTGAGTGGGTGACTGGAATCAGGCAGAATATGTGATCGTTTCAGGCAGAGGAAAGCAGCATGTGAAAGAGCCTAGAAGTGAGAGAGAACCATAAATGTCCAGGTCCTGAAAGTAACTTATAGTATACATTAGGGGAGGAGGGAGTGGAGGAGGGAAGCAGGGAGAGATGAGGTTATAGAGGAATACCAAGAGTTTGGGTTTGATCCTGAGGGCAATGAAGAACCATTGGAGGGTTTCCACAGAGGAGTAACATATAATATTAACACTTAAAACAAGATGAAATACCAACTGGAGTGTGGTGAATGATTTGGATTTGTAGTGGGGCAGAACTGGAGATGAGAAGGTCAGTCGGAGTATTGTAACAATAAGCTAGGCTAGAGGTAATGGTGGCTTAAGCTAAAATAGAGGCACTAAGGAAAAAGGAAAGATGGATTCCAGGAATATTAAGAAGATAGAATCAACAGGATTTGATGATTGATCCACTCGAAAAATATTTGTTGGATTTCTGTGTCTGAGCATTATGGAAAACCTGATATTAGATATACATGCTCACTGTAAATAACTATGCAGGCTGGACAAAATATACAAAATAGTATCTGCAGGCATTGCCTAGCCACTCAGTGTTGGGCTACAATCCTTGGGAAAGGAAAAACACATGAGGTAACCTCCAGATTTACACAGGTTTTCTCTCCAAGGACATAGTTCAGACTCTCATACCGGGAGTGAGATCTCAAGAGCATCTGTTTTGCCAAATGAAGGAGTTCGTTGACTGTTCAGTTGGCTGATATTTGGGTTTAAGACATCAAATATGGGAGACCTCTAGAGAAGAAACTCAAGAAATCCTTGGAAATCCTTCTTAGGTCCTTGGTCAGCTCCTAAATTATACATGTGTAGGATGAAATTCCAAAAGAGAGCCTCTTCCAGAAGGCTGAGAGCTAAGCAGACATTTCAGTGCAGGGAAGATGTTGGAGTGCAAGCTGAGCCAGAGTGAGGAGACCCTGATGAAACTGCTAGCATATCACTGGATCCTAGAAAGCACATTGTAGGAGTAAGTATCATGTTTTAAGAGTAAAAGCAAAATGAGAATAGGCCATCCTAACAGCCTCAAACCAGGTCCCAACACGATAAGATAAATCTGCAGTAACATAACTGCCTGCCATAACAAAACTCGACTGCCTTGAGAAGACAAATCCTGCAGAGCCTCTCAAATATATTATTCCCGAGGTTCAGCTTTCAATGAAAAATTATTACACATTGAGAAAAGTAGGAAAAACATAATCAGGTCATAAAACGATAAAAGTGAACCTAGAAATAGTGCTGACAAGAAGAGTTTACTCTATGCAGATACTAGTTCCAGCTGTGTGCAAGACACTCTCTGAACTCAGAGAACTTACGTGTAGGAAGAGAAAACAGCCAGTAGACAAGACGAATCAGTAAAACATTTAGTGCGTTAGGTTACGAAAAATGCCAGGGAGGAGAAGAAATCATGGAAACAAGGTAGGGGGTATTGAGTGGATGGCATTTTATGAAGGGGGTCTGGAAGAGATTTCGTGTATGGGGCTGATGGCAAGGGAAATTAAAAGATGGTAATCATGTTCTGAGCTTGTGCTTTTTTTTTTTTTTTAAAAATTTTTTTTTTTCAACATTTATTTATTTTTGCGACAGAGAGAGACAGAGCATGAACGGGGGAGGGGCAGAGAGAGAGGGGGACACAGAATCGGAAACAGGCTCCAGGCTCTGAGCCATCAGCCCAGAGCCCGACGCGGGGCTCGAACTCCCGGACCGCGAGATCGTGACCTGGCTGAAGTCGGACGCTTAACCGACTGCGCCACCCAGGCGCCCCTGAGCTTGTGCTTTTATATGAACTTGAGACGGGCTACACGAGGAGGAGCTGCATTATTTGTCAGAAGACGGTATTTGGGGAATGTTTAGTGTGAGGTGTTGCTGAGGCTCTAATTGGAATTTCATAGTAGGCAACTGGACACATGAATCTGGAGAGCAGAAGATGTCTGTTCTAGAGATGTTAATTTGGAATTGATCAGCCTATGATAAAAACTATGACCGTGTAAAAATGAGAAGGGAAAACCCATGAAAAGGTTCAGGATTTAAAATACAGACATGGCCAAATGAGAGGCGGCAATTTCAGGCAAAGGAAGACCAGGCCCTGTGCAGACGCCTTTTCCAAAGATGACTCGGTGAGTTGAGACTGTTCCCCAGAGACACCTTGAGAAGAATTAGCTGAAAATCACAGGGCCACAATAAGGAAGGTGACACATTAGTGTCACTGCCCCCCCCCCAACAGTAGATCACCCCTTCCAGGACAGTTGGATTAAATGTGGAAAATGAGCGGCACTGACATCCATGAAAATCTCAGACCCTGCCAGTTCCATTGTTGTCTCAACTTGAAATCTAGGCTCTTGGTACCTCAGGGGACACCTTTCAGTTGTACCCCGCCCCTCCTTTTCAACCAAAGACAAGGGCAGAGGGAACCTCAGAGGGGGAGATCTTGGGACATTCGTAGCAGGACCAGGCTGCTGTGAATAGGGGGATGATCCTGGCCCACAGACAGGTCCCATTATGCCAGAAGCACACATGCAGAGGAGGGAGATGGCATGGCCCTGCCACGACCCTCCTTCTAGGTGTGCCGTAGGGCAGTTGGGCCGAGAGAGACCTGAGCTCCAGGGCTCCGGAGAAGTGGGGAGCAGGAAGGCGGAGACCAGTCAGGGCCTTGTCCGCCTGTCAGCAGTCCCTCAGACAGGTGCCGCTGACCATGGGGACTTCAGTGTACCCTCAGACAGTCCCAACGCAGAGAAAGAAGAGCTGTCTAGGGAACTGAGGGAGGAAAATCAGAGGATTGCGGACCTCATAGGACAAAGGACACACCTCCAAGCTGAGGAAGTGTCTTTGCACGTCGAAAAGGCCCAGCTGGAAAGTGAGATTCAGCAGCTCCAGGTCAGGCTCCAAATACAGCGTGAGACGTGCGAAGAGCATGTCCTGCAACTGGAGGGAAAGCGGGCTGAGCAGGAAACATCGTGTGGAGATGGAGAGAAGCAGCTTCCCAAGGCATGCGGGAGCCTGGATGCCACCTGTGGGACCCGCAGTCTCCACAAGAAGATGGCTGAGGACCTGGGCAGAAAATCTCAGAGAACCACCTCCTCTTACCAAGAGGACGTCCTCCTGAGTAAGGGGAGAGGCCGCAAGAGTGGGAGGGCCCCTCTGTCGGCAGAGAGAGAGCCCCAGGAGCTGAGGAGAGAAGGCTACCACCTCAGGCAGAGGCTGGTCCACTCGGGGCCCAAGGTCCAGCCTGTCCCATGGGGGCCTCATGCACCTGCTGCTCTTCCTGCAGCCTCCAGAGCCTGTGAGGGGCCAGGGGCTCCCCTGCATCCCAGGTGCCCCAGGAGAGGCAGGGGTACACTGGCAGGGCTCCGGGGCTGGGGGTTGCCTACAGGTCTCACTCAGCTTTCCAGTAACCAGGCCCTGGACGCCCACGAGCAGGGAGGACACAACAGCCCCTGTGCTTCCCCGCCAAGCTATGGCCACTGCTTTTTAAGTTTAGGTTAGCCCTGTTAATTAGTTGATGCTACCTACATCTGAGTGAAGTTCCCTATAGCAGGTGAATGTGGGCTGGTACTTTTTTTTTTTAAGTTTATTTATTTATTTTGAGAGAGA